ATACATATTAATTTCTATTAAAGGTTAAACCAGAAAATATCTTAATTACAAGTGATGGTAGTCTTAAACTTTGTGATTTTGGTATTGTACATGATTTACGAAGTGTAAGAGAAATATTTATTAAATAAAAAATTTATAATTTAGATTATTTTAGGCATCAACTTTAGCTCAAGATGGTGATGCACGTTATCTTGCATTCGAAGTACTTTCAGGTACGATATCAACAGCAGCTGATGTATTTAGTTTGGGCATGGCAGCACTTGAATTAGTCAGTGATTATGATATGCCTGTAACGGGTGATCTTTGGACTGATATAAGAGCTTTAAATTTACCAATAGAAATTGTTTCAGGTATATAAATAAATAAATAATATGATAATTTATTTGATATATGTATATATAGTTTTAACTGATATTCATTTAAAACAACTTTTATATCGAATGATACATGCTGATTATAAAATACGACCATCTGCAAAAGAAGTTCTTGATAGTCCAACTATCCGTAATCAGGTCAGTAGAAAAAAACAATAAATTATATAGATCTGTTGTTTAATTTTCTATAGATTTGTTATATGCCATCACCATTTGCATTTAATCAACATCGACATGAACATGTAGAATTTGAAATATATGTCAAAAAGTAATCTTTTGTTTTTTGAATAGATTGTTTCATCAATCGGTGGAAATGATTCACCTGCTAGTCATGGTTGTCGAACACCAATCAAGAAACCAAAACGACCACCAAATTATGGTGGTTATCATGATGAACATTCAGATGGTTTGAATACGAAATTATATTTTTTTTCTTGTAAAATAATTCTTTCTATTTCAGATGAATTTCGACTTCATTCTATTCATGATAAATCTCAATTGTAAGTATAGAGATGATATTCATATCATATATCTTTCATTAATTTTGATTTTATATTTTTAGAACTCCACCACCAGCAGTTGTTGGTGATCCACTTCGAGTTCGTCTTTTTCCTGGTGAATCAGACGAAGAAATCAATGATGATCATATTTATTTGTAAATTCTTATTTTCTATTTAAATAACAAAAATATTCTATTTCTCTCTTTAGTCGAAAATCTCCAGTTCAATTTAAATTTGACAGTAGTGGAACTGAAGATTAAATTAAAATGAACAATTCTTCCGGTATACATTTTTTTTCTATCTATAGTAATAACATATGTCAGATTATAACTAACAGTCAAATCTTTCTTTTCTTATTTTTTTGTTCCTTGTATTATTATTATTATTATTATTATTATTATTATTGTTATTATTCCATTGAAGAAAACAAAAGTACCAACAGCAAGAGAAATGTCAGATATATATGTTTTGATTATCTCCTGTCACAAAATATATATCAACCGATAATCTTTTCTTTTCTAAGTGCATGTTTATCTGCTTTTATTTATTCTTATACATAAAGTGTTGTGTACAGGTTGAACAAAAAACATAGTAGATCTCTTTCTTTTTCTCTCTTGTTCTCTATTTATTATTATTTTTTTTTGCTCTTCATATTAAAATTTGTATGTGTATGTTTAATTTGTGCATCTTCAATCTTGAAAGTGTGTTTGTGTAAAAATTATTCTTGATATATATATATATGTAAGCAACACACTAAATCAGAAAAAATGATAAAATAGATATTTATTTGTAGATGTTAAATGAGACAATTAATAAAATCATTTAGTTGGTATTTATATGGAGGTGTATCATGTTATTGTATGCAACGATTTTTTGTTGATTTTATTTATATAAAAAATAATGAAAATGATTTGTTTCAATCAGGTGATATTATTGTTTTGGATATTTGGAATCGATTAGAATTAAACAGGTATTATTTGATTGAAGAAAAATATTAGATGCACAGGAATATGGATTAAAGTTATAGAACTATTCAATATCGTTTGTAGTTTCGTAAATAAAACTAGACTTGTATTGAAATGAACATCCTATATATAAATGTATGCAAAAATATATTTAGAAAACTTTTGAGGCATTATGCCAGTAGAAAAAAAAAGTTATCCCTCTAAATATCTGTTTATAATTTTGATGAAAAACTATATCTGACTTTTTCTCGATAACGATTAATATTTTTTTGATTGTTAAAATTATATGAGGATCTATTGCTACATTGTATTTATTTTCTTTAGTATAGAAATAACTTAATTTGTGCTAAATCACCTGATAATCATCAACAGACAATTTTTGGTCGTGTTATAGCATTTCCTGATGATTGGATTAACATTCAACCAGTAAATACGAGAATCAAATTAGTTAAAGTAAATCTCTTTTAATCTCCTATTATTTCTTCTAAAATGTTTCATATAGATTCCTAAAGGAAGTATTGGTATTAGTCTATTAACCAATGATAATCATGAAGAAACTAAGATTTTACCAATGGGTTTAATTGAAGGACGAACATTAGCACGAGTAAATATATATATATATATATATAAATTTGTACTTTAACTTGATATATTTATTTTAGATTTGGCCATTAAAACGTTCTACTAGTCATCTTCTTAATATGCCATCAACATCAGATATTTGAATAGAGAGAAAAAAAACTTCGAATTTTCTATCTGAACAATTTTCTGCCATTTTTCTTTTTCGTTGGGAAATAAAACACAAAAAAACAAAAATACAATAAAGATAATAAGCTCCTAAAAAACAACTTGAGCTGATCAAAATACATCGATTATATATATAAGAATGGTAAAATATATACAAAAGTAAGTAAATGTCGTTTGTTTTTTTTCCGGTATACACCGGGTTCGATAGAGGAAGTATAACAATAATAATAACTTTGCATATTAGTTTAATCATTCATATTCTTCTGGTATGACTGGTTTTCGTTCTTTATTAACACGACTACCAAGACAATCTTGAAAAAATCGACGTTGAAAATGAAAATAATCACCATGCAACCTTCGATCTTTTTCGAAATCATGATTTGCATCTGGATAAACCTATTTTATTTTTATATAAATAAAATATTTCATATTTCTATTTTTAATAAAATTTATTTACTTTAAATTGAAAATTAACATTAGCTGCAATAAATGTTTTAGCTAATGCTGCTGAATGTTTAAAATGAACATCCTCTGAAAAAGATGAAATTATTTTTTTTATTTTTCTTTACTTTAAATATATTTTACCATCGGCTGTTCCATGTACGACAGCTATACTTTTATTTCGAATATCTAATCGACGAGACTAAAAAAATAAGTAAACATGTATAATTAAAAAGAACAATTTGTTTAGTTTTACTGATTGAACATGGGTTTTTAATCCATCGATACGTTCAGTATAAATAGCATCTAGAAAAATAGATTAAACTATAATTGAAATATATATGAATTTTTTCAGTATCTTACGATAATGAGATAAATCATTGACAGGAGATTCAAGAAATGCACAATTATATTCAAATTTATCTTTATGAGGTTCTTCAAGTAATTTTAATGCAATAACAGCAGCAGGACCCTATAAATTCAAAAAGAAAAGACATATATATCGAAAAGGATTTGCTAACTAGAATCGGAATCCGGGTTTCTAATAGAAATCTAAAACAAAATGTATATGTACATTTTATTTTTCTTGGCAAAGTGTATACACTTGACGTTTAATACAAAATAAAGAAGTGAAAAATAGAAGAATATTCATGCGTTTCTTTCGTAGAACAATTAAACAATGGTAGATGAACAAATACACAATTATCTTTCCAAGATACGAATGATAGTTTGTATCAAAAAAGGTCACAATGTTTCATTGTTTAGACATAACTTTTGAAATTCACATTATTCTTAAAGATTCTCAGAATTAGAAGCAAAGTGTATTTCTCACACTCTACTTTTTGGGGCAAGTGTATCGCAGTCTGTATTTCAAGAAGAGCCAGCGTTCCGTACATTTCGATTATGCTTGGTACACTTGCTATTAGAAACACTGATCGGAATCATAATTTTTGTCTCGGATGATTTCAAATCAAGATCAATTAAATGATTATTTTTATAAGAAAACAGAAGATTTCATAAATCAACTAATCCTATTCAATCGATCTTAATTGTTTTTATAATCAATCAATGTTAAGTAAAAAGTTTTTTTTCCTGATGAACTAATTTCTACAGATAACTATTACATATTAATAGAAAATCTAGACTCGAAGGATTTTCGGATGAATACTATTCTTTGAATCGATTATTTATAATATATTTAACAAGTCATTTATCGAAGAAAAATTTTAAATCTTACTCGTGCTTTTAGGCCAAATTGGGTACTATTTAATATTTCTTTAAATTTTTTTTCATGATATTTCAAATGTCTAAATAAATAAATAAATACGAGCAATATTCTATTATGATTCTTACTGGGCAACTTTAATATAATCTAGATATTGTCTTCGAAACCAATCAGGAATATTATTTTTTAAAAGATTTTCATCGTCTCCAGTGCTACCGTGTGCATCAAATAATACAATACTTATATTATCGTATGTTACATGAGCGAATCTAAATTAAGCAAGAATATTTTCTTCTAATCTTTATTCATTATACAACATACTCAAATAATGGTAGAGCATATTTTTTAGTCACTCTTTGATCGTATAATCGATCATTTCTATGATAAAAAAAGTAAATATTAATTTTTATTAATTAATTATATGATAACTTACATTGAAACAACAACAGGATATGATGCAATTGTAACATTAGGATTGTATGTTGGAGGAAATATAATCATTCCATGACCGACTATTTATTATTACAAAATAAACTTTCATAGAATTATATTTCGATTTTTTACCTGTATTTTTGTCATCTAGTGGTACTGAAAAATAATCAACATGAGGCATTAAACGATGACTTATCCATGTACGAAATGGACTATTTTCATTAATTAATTCTAATAGAAAAAAATGGTTAACTTTAATTTATCAATCTAATTAAAATAATTATTTACCAAGTCTTCCCGTTCGATTATATAATGTTGAGAAAGGAATTGATGGTCCATAACATTCAAGTATATAATAACTGCCTTTGCCATGACTAAATTGTGCATTTGCATAACCACATGATTCATTTCCATCATGACATGAGATACATTCTGCATCCAGTTTAGTATTCATATAATTCCATCTATTTAATTAAAACAAAACAATACTAAAAATATGATATTTTTGACTTCTTTTTACCGGTAAACTTGTCGCTCTAAAGAATGATTTTGACGTGAACCAGTGAAATAGACATAGTTAAATTTATCTACATGAATTATTTCATCAGCAGATATATTTAATGGTGATGTTGCATCAATTTGTGGTTGCTGAAAACAAATATATATATATATATATATTTAGATTTTATGTTTAATTTAAACATACTGTTTGATTAAAATGTATTCGAACAACATGTGGATAAGCTTTTTGCGTTAATTTATTAATATTTAACGGATCAAATCGTATAATAAAACCATATGCACCCGATGGTGAAAAAGTTGGTTTGAGAAAACGTGGTAATAACGTACCTTTTCGTGTTTCTTCAACATAACGTGATTTATATATGATTTTATCATTATCATTATTTATTGTTTGGATTTCATATAATTGTATTATACTAGAATCTTGTCTACGAGTACTATAGACAATTGATAAACATGTATCACAAGACCAAACAACATGGTAGATGTATAAATCAGATTTTCTAAAAATATGAAGAAAAGTGATATTTTTTTGTTTAATATATTATATTACAATTTTTCATATTCAATCGGACGTGGTACACGAATAGTTTTTCCTGATTTAATACTGTAGATGTATACATCAAGTAATGGAAGCGTATCACCAAATTTTGGATATGGGATTGAATATTGATCATTACTATCATGTGAAAAATCATATCGAAGAAAATGATTTTTTGAAACATTTTCTAAATTTATTTTAATAAACGCCAAATAACGATCATTGGGAGACCAAAATAGAAGAACATTTCGATTGAAAATTTCATCTAAGAATATAAAGAAATTTTCTTTTTTGCAATCGTAAAATATCTTTTCTATACACTCTTATATTCTCGGAAAACCTCCGTCTTATTCAAAAAATATATTGTATATTTTGTTTTGAGTGTTT